AAATATAATATTAAAATAACCCGATGGCACTATGCCCTGTGGTACAACAAGTTGAATTCTGAAAGAAAAAAAAACAATGTATAGTCTGCAAGTTCCTTATGAAGCAAGCTCTGTGCCTGACAACACATGAAATTCAAAAACCTGCAAATAAAATCTTGGAACTAATTTCAGAACAGAAGAACATGATTGCTGGCTAAGTAAAAAAAATGATACTTTGTTTAAATACCTAGTCTCTAGTAAGATGGTGCCATGCAGATGGAAAAAAATGGCAAAAAGAAAATTCACCTTCAAGGAAAATTTGCTGTAACCTTTAAGTTTCCTAGGAATGCCATTTTAAGCACAGATAGCCACTGAGTATTTCCTCTTTTTCCCCACTTGCCAAACTCTAAAACTCCAGGGCCCTATTTTAAAAACTTCTGACTTATCAAACAACTGTCAATATTTGGTAATAATGATGACCACTAATTCCTGCACAAGACACAACCTTCAGATATACTAATTCCCCAAGTGCAAATTAGCTTAGGAAAGAAAGATAAATACCTGAGGAAAAGAAGCCCGCAGAGGAAGCCAACAGCTGAGGGCTACCACACCTGCTAATTTTTGTTGCGTTGTAAGAGCTGTATACAATGATAAAGCACCTCCCTAAGACAAACAGATAATAAATATTAGAATGGTAATGGTAGTGTTGCTTTTAACACTTGTTTCAAGATCTCTGGTTTCTCCCTTAAAGATCTTTTTCTATTCCAATCAATTCTTCCTTAGAATCAACACTAAAACCAGTACTCCTGTACGTTTATTTTGCTTCCCCCCCACCCAAAGTCCATGTGATCAATCAAGAAGTAAAACATTAAATTTACTGTAACAAACAGCTAGGAAAAACCAAACAAAACAGGAAATAAAGCACTATCATTCATGACAATATTATCACTACTTTAGCATTAATAAGTTCATGCAGACTGGGGAGTTGGTGTATGGATCTATTCATCTATTAACCTACCTACCCTACAGATGTCTTACAAGTATGAAGGAAAGAATTTCCCAAATAAATCCAAGCCATCAAATATCTACCAAATTAAAGTTAAATTAAAAATACTAGCAAGATTTTCAAGCAAAGCTATGTAAGTTACATGCATAAAGACTCTACGAAGACTTTTAATTTTAGTACCTTTTTCCACCTGTATGTTCATTTTCCAGTGAATAGTAACTATTTGCATAAAATTAAAAGACTTCATTTGTTAAGACAAAGGAAAACTGACACCTTAAAATTTTAGAAGCATCTAACATCAGCTCTTTTCAATTCAAGTGTCTAGATTTCCCACATCAGGAAAACTTAAGTCGGTTCCCCAGAAAAAGACAGTTCTTTCCAGCAACACCTTACCTGAGAAAAGCCGCCCAGAATAATTCGATTAGAAGGAATTCCATTTTTAACTTCTTGATCTATCAGTGCTTTAACTGCAACATAAATAAAGGCCAGTAGTTACAAATCACTTCATTCTGTAAAAAGTCCAGAACAGAAAAGAGACCCTCTCCCTGATGTGAAAAGAAAGATAAAGGAAAATACAGTGTGCTAGACGTTAAAAAGTATCAAAAGATCTAAAGCACGATCAGAAATTCCAGTGCCACTGTACCATTTCAAAGTGAAAAACATGTAATTAAGTTTCACAAAAGCTCCACTGCCAGGAAGATGGTATCCTCCTTCTAACTACCCAGAATCAAAAAAAAAGAAAGAGTACACCAGCTCCCATGTACACATTATATTTGAGAGTATAAAGTGTTTGTACTGGAAAATTACTCTACTTACTCAAGAAGTTTAAAAAAAAACAAACCACAAAACAAACAACGCACTTAGCAAAACTTTGATCAGCAAGAATACAATTTATACATATTACTTTCTCTAATAACTTTGGTTTTGGAAAATCTGTTTCAGACTAATAATTAATTTTTAAGAATCCAGGGAAGTACTTTTAAGACATACAAAGTATCCCTAAGCATACCATTCTCTGCTGCCTGCTTGATCCCAGCTTCGTCTTCCTGTGAATCTGGAGAAAGTCCAATGATATCAAACCTTACAAAAATATCAACAAGAGCATTACTCATTAGAGCACCCATTCCACTTCCTTAAAACACAAATAATGAAATTGGGATGTTTTCCAGATAGCAACATTAGCTGACATATTATGCAGCACCAACCACACACAAATTACAAGAAATAGCAGACGATCTGTGAATGTGGCTAAAAATCTAGATCTAGTCAACAAAGCTTTTCCGAGTTTTTGTATCTTCTGCATTTACTGCAGATTAACCAGCTGAGTTTTGATATTTGCTCCAAAAAGATCAGCAGG